GCCAAAGTCTTCAAAAGAAAATAATCTGATACTCACTGAAGCCCTGGAAGGTCACAGCCAGATCTCTCTTCCTGACGCCCTAATTGCACTAGAGATTTCTCAGCCACAGTTATAGAAGGTATACACTGCTTTCAGTGTATTTGCTTCTTCACCATGTTTTATTCTGCCAGATTCTTCCCTCTGGGAGCTGTGCTCCAAGACAGATCACAATGAATTATTCACTGAGCAGGCAGATGCATTAATGTAGCTATTCAGTTATCCATTGTGATATTTCTTTTAAAATAACATTAAAGCCCTTCATCCTTTGTTCTATGGGGCATATGACTGTGCAGACATAGAATTATAGAATTGTAGAGTTGGAATGGACGTAAGGGTCATCAAGTCCAGGCCCCTGCATGGGGTGTGTGGGGTGTTTGAGGAGGGTTGGTACAGACATGATTCTTCCGGGATATTTTGGTCACCTTTGGTCCCCACCCTCCACTCAGCTGTTACCTGTGGCTCCCAGAACCTGTCTTCTGGGACAACTCCTGCAGTTAAGCTGGTGCCAAATGTACTGCTGTTTCATCTCGACTACATCAGTGAGGTTGAGAAAGGGGTCTTGTCATCTGGGCAGGCCAGAATATCCATTCATTTCTGCCAATTCAGTGGTTGGATTGTCCTCTGAGAGAAACTGATGCCAACAAACATACTGTAATGGGTAAACACTTTCTTGACCATATTGTATAACCTCCTGCAAACAAACAAGAATTAATGCTCACTTCCCCATCATTTTCCAGTCACAAATCCGAGATTGTTTCCTTGGTCCCTCCCCCCACCCCCGCCACATGCCAGAGCTTTCTCCATGAAAACCCACTCTTTCAGGCAGAATCACAGCAAATGTCAATTTGGGTTTTCTGAGGTTTGACATTTGCTCCTATTCAACTTTAAAGAGTGTGTTTTTACGAGAAAGCTCTGGAGGTGTTGGTGTGGATGCATTCAGAAAAGAAGCTATAAATTGCAGACAATGTCTGGAAAGCGTAGAAAGAAAGAGGGGGTTTTGCCCTGCCGGACTTGAAATTATACTATGAGTTGGCGGTTTTCTGCTGGCTGAAAGACTGGCTACTTCTTGAAAACACGGACATTTTAGATTTGGAAGGGTTCAATAACAGGTTTGGCTGGCATGCATATATATGGTATGACAAGGTAAAAATTCACAAAGGTTTCAAAAACCATATTGTTAGGAAAGCTTTATACAATGTTTGGATTAGATATAAGGATTTGTTGGAAAACAAAACTCCTAGGTGGTTGTCACCAATGGAAGCCAGAGAGGTGAAAAAGCTTAATATGGAAGCCAAATGGCCTAAATATTGTGAGATTTTGGAACAAGAGGGTGAAAAAGTGAAACTACAAAGCTATGAGAAACTGAAGTCTAAAGTAAGAGATTGGCTTCACTATTTCCAGATTAATGAGATGTTCAAACAAGACAGGAAAATTGGCTTCCAGGTGGAGAGATCAAAATTAGAAACTGAATTGTTAGAACCCAATACTAAGAATTTGTCAAGAATGTACAACTTGCTGTTGAAGTGGAACACACAAGATGAAACAGTTAAATCAGCTATGATTAAATGGGCACAAGACATTGGTCATGACATTATGTTTGCTGACTGGGAACAGTTATGGACCACTGGTATTAAATTTACGGCATGTAATGCCCTAAGAGAGAATATTATGAAAATGATCTATAGGTGGTACATGACCCCAGTCAAGCTTGCAAAAATATATCATATGCCCAATAATAAATGTTGGAAATGTAAGGAAGCTGAAGGTACTTTCTATCATCTTTGGTGGACGTGCCCAAAGATTAAGGTCTTCTGGGAAATGATCTATAATGAAATCAAGAAGGTTCTTAAATGTACCTTTCACAAGAAACCAGAGGCTTTTCTCTTGGGCATGGTTGGCCAAATGGTACCAAGGAAGGATAAGACTTTTTTTATGTATGCTACAACAGCAGCAAGAGTTCTTCTAGCAAAGTATTGGAAGACACAAGAACTACCCACACTGGAAGAATGGCAGATGAAGGTGATTGACTATATGGGACTAGCCGAGATGACTGGCAGAATCCGTGACCAAGGAAGAGAGACGGTGGATGAAGATTGGAAGAAATTTAAAACTTATCTTAAAAACTACTATAAGATTAATGAATGCTAAAATGTCAAGGGTAATGTAAAAACCTAAATTACAGCTGTAAATGATTGGGTAAAATAAGAAGAAACAGAAAAAGTTTAAAAATTAGCAGAAGTGAGGGGTTGCTGGAAAAATTACTAATTAGAGATGCAGAAAAGGGAGGCATGGGGAAGTCGGTGAAAGAGGGTAAATGAAAAGAAGGTTATGAATTTATACGTGTTTTATATGTTTGTTTGTTTATGTATTGTGTTGTGTATGTTTAAAATCTATGTTGGAAAATTATAAAAAATTATTTTAAAAAAAAGGAAAGCGTGGAGAAAAGGTAAATGTGGATGATGCTATACCTTGCCATAAACTGTACAAAGAAATCTGTATGAATGCTCAATAAACACGTAATTTAGAACTGACTTTAGTAGCAAGTTGGACCACTAAAATTTTTTATTTTTCCCCCAAGAGAGAGATGAGCTTGATGATAGATGATGATAGACAGATAGATGAAAGATGACAGATAGAAAGATAGATAGAAAGATGAGAGAGAGAGAGAGAAAGAAAGAAAGAAAGAAAGAAAGAAAGAAAGAAAGAAAGAAAGAAAGAAAAAAGATATTTTACATTGGCCTTTGAAAGGGCTACAGGGGTGATTTTCATGAATGACTGAGACTAGGCTTGGTTTCACCAATAAAAGTTGTAATTGGCAGCATGTGGCATACAGAATACAGTGGTAAAAGGTACAGTGGTAGGAGTGGGGAGATCCTTTGTCCCTTTATTTCCATCGCTGTCAGTCTGAGTGTAGGCCAGCTAAGCCAGAACTAGCAAGTAATCTCCTCCCCCCCACCTCCTTAACATGCTCTGCCCCCAAATGGGTGGTTTCAGAGGATCCAAGGCAGGTAATGAGAAGGAGAGACACAGAGGGCACCTAGCCTTCCTGGATCTTCTCTGAGCCCAGTGTAGCTTTCTCCTCCTTGGCAGACTCCAATCTCATCACATGTAGCATGACTCTGAAATGTTGTAGACACATAAGTGAAAAATTCCCTTTGGGTCTGGCAACAATACACACAATAATCCAGACAGTTATTTTGATGAAGTTTATTAAGAGCTAAGCAGAAAGTAAGAGGGCAAATGGAAGACAGAAAGTTGCTTCAACAAGATAAAAGAATAAAAAATCCACCCACAGGTTATCCCATGTCTGCCTGCCATTGTATCATAGAATTGTAGAGTTGGAAGGGACCCTGAGGGTTAACTGGTTCAACCTCCTGTAGTACCTATCTTACTGCAGCTACTTACAATCAGCCTTTGGGTCTCACATTATGCAAAGTAGCAGCATTGATGGCAGACCCTCCAATATCTATCCATTGAAAAGAGGGACATCTTCTGTTATTATTTCTTAGTGTTGTTGTTGTTGTTGCTGCTGCTGCTGCTGCTGCTGCTATCATTATAAATCCGCTGCCCATATGACTGGGTTGCCCCAGCCGCTCTGGGTAGCTTCCAACATATATAAAAACTGAATAAAATGTTTTAAAACTTCCCTATACAGATAACTTCAGATATCTTCTAAAGGTTCTATAGTTACTTGTGTAATTGGCTCAGGGGTTGCCTAACTCCATACACACAACCTTTCTCCAGTGAAAATAGGGACATCCTAAGAAAAAGTGGGACATTCTGGGATCGAATCAGAAACTGAGACAGCTTCAGTAAATCCAGGACTATCCCTGTAAAAAAGGGAAATGTGGATGGTTCATGATGGTCAAGTAATATGAGGGATGTTGAGAGACAATGGGCTATATGGCAGCAGTTCACTTCCAAGAGGTTTGATACAGGTAGGTCTTGCATGATATCTGGCACTGTCCAGACAATCACAAGGCAGTCAGTAGCCAGGGGAATGCCAATCAGTGATAATTTAGTCTCTGCAAATTTAGGAAGTTAATGCAGAAAAAATGGTGTGTTTGTGGTTCTTTGTACTAGCTGATTCAGACAAATGAAAACAATTTGGAACAGAAGCATGCTAGGAGATGTCCAAAGAAAAGGAATTATAACATTGTAAGTTCATGCGACAAAAGGTGAGAGTATCCCTTCATATAATTCTTTCCTACAATTTAAAATCTAGTGCAGTATGGTGGAAAATAATTTTTAAAACCCCCCCAAAAACAACAGTTCTGGAATGCAGCAGCTATTGAAGTACAAAAGGAATGTTAGAAATTGGGACAGAAGCACTAGCATCATAATCAGAAAAACACATGCAATAAGCCCCACATCTGAATGCAGCTTGGCAGAAGTTCCCCAGAGTTTCAAGAAAAAATCTTTCCCAGCCCTGCCTGAACTAAACATGGGACCTTCTGCATACAAAGCATGAGATTTACACTTCGGCTCTGATGGTATTGGATGAAGGGACAGGAAACTTTCTTTCAGAGAATGACTTTCGTATTAAGTTATATTAGGTTCCAAGCTTAATTGAGGATGATTCCCACTTCCCCAAAGAGTTTTCCATCCATTCCCCAATACAAATTGTTTAGTTAGGAATCCTCAACCCTCGCAGAGATATCTTTTGGGGGATTTCTGGTGATTTCACTAGGAGGGAACCACAATCTTTCCTTCCACAAATTTATTTACTATAAATTATCCAACTGTTTGAGCTGTTAAGTAGATAAAGGCAAGGTTAGATGACAAAAATCGCCAATTAAATCAAGGGTCATATATTAACTCAAAATTAACGTAATCCCATTAATTTTAAGGGGACCACAGTTCTCCTAAATCATTCTGGATCCAAGCTAATGCATTCAGAAATTAGTAGGTACAGGTCCATACCTATTTTGGAACTCCCACAATACGTCAGTTCATTTTTATCACCCAAAAGGTCTTCTACCCCAGATTCTTCTAAATGAATGTTTTACCTCTTTATTCCTCAGGCTGTATATGAGGGGGTTCAAAATGGGACCTATAACAGTATAGAAAAGGGAGAGAAATTTGTCAGTGTTTGGTGAGTAAGTGGAATTGGGCTTCAAATATGTAATACAAGCAGAACCATAGAACAAGGTCACCACAATCAGGTGTGAAGAGCAGGTGGAAAAGGTCTTCATCCGACCTTCAGAGGATGAGATCTTCAAAATAGTGGTTATAATGCCAGCGTAAGACATCAAGATCAGGATAAAAGGCAAAGTCCCAAAAATCATAGCCCCCACAAAGAGTCCAATTTCAACCCTAGAAGTGTCCCCACAAGCCAATTTCAGCAAAGGAGGAATGTCACAAAAGAAGTGGCTGATCACATTGGAGCCACAGTAGGAGACAGTAAATAACATGCTAGTGTGACCAAAGGACATCAGAAACCCACTTAACCAACACACCACAACTAAAGTAGTATAAACTTTTTGGCTCATCAGGAAGTGGTAGTGTAAGGGCTTACAAATGGCAACATATCGATCATAGGCCATTGCGGCCAAAAGGAAACATTCTGACCCACCAAGGAAGAATACAAAGTAGGTCTGCAGAGCACATCCAATGAAGGAGATGGATTTATTTCCAGAGAGGAGGTTTGCCAGCATCTTAGGGACATTCACCGATGTGTAGCAGATCTCCAGAAAAGACAGGTTTCTTAGGAAGAAATACATGGGGGTGTGCAGGGCAGGATCAGCCAACGTCAGAAGAATGATGAGAAGGTTTCCTGCCAGAGTGATGATATAGAGTACCAGGAAAGCGGAGAACAATGCACTTTGCAGGTTTGGATCATCAGAAAGACCCAGGAGGATGAATTTAGCTGGTGATGTACTGTTTTGTAGAATGTATTCTTTTCTGTTCTGCATCCTGGAAAGAGAACATAAGGAACTAATGAAGTTAGAGTAAGATTGTTCGGCTATACACAATCTTTTTATATAGATTATATGTGGAACTCTGCTCAATGACTGCCAAGCTGTATAATAATCATTTTCTTTATTAAACATAGCAAGTGCTAACCTTTGGTAGAATTGTTCCTAAATAACATTATTAAAGGGCATCAGACTTGAAAAATAAACATTGTCGAAGAAATTATTTAGTATCATTCATGAGAAGAAATGTACAAAGTGTGTTCCTTCAGAGTGAAACATGCCAAAGTCTTCAAAAGAAAATAATCTGGTACTTACTGAAGCCCTGGAAGGTCACAGCCAGATCTCTGTTCCTGACACCCTGGTTGCACTAGAGATTTCTCAGGCACAGTTATAGAAGGTATACACTGCTTTCAGTGTATTTGCCTCTTCACCATGTTTTATTCTGCCAGATTCTTCCCTCTGGGAGCTGGGCTCCAAGACAGATCACAATGAGTAACTCACTGATCAGGCAGATGCATTAATGTAGGTATTCAGTTATCCATTGTGATATTTCTTTTAAAATAACTTTAAAGCCCTTCATCCTTTGTTGTGTGGGGCATATGGCTGTGCAGACATGGAATTATAGAATTGTATAGTTGGAAATGACGTAAGGGTCATCAAGTATCCAACCCCCTGCATAGGGTGTATGGGTTGGGGAGGGGTAATACCTCTGTTGGTACACACATGATTCTTCTTGGGTAGTTTGTTTCCCTTTGGTCCCCACCCTCCACTCAGCTGTCACCTGTGGCTCCCAGAAGCAGTCTTCTGGGACAACTCCTGCAGTTAAGCTGGTGCCAAATGTATTGCTGTTTTCCTCTCAACCACATCAGTGAGGTTGAGAAGGGGGGGCAGCCCAGAACATCCATTCATTTTTGCCAGTTCAGTGGTTTAATTGTTCTCTGAGAGAAACTGATGCTAACAAATATACTGTAATGGGTAAACACTTTCTTGACCATATTGTATAACCTGCTGCAAACAAACAAGAATTCATGCTGAGTTCCCCATCATTTTCCAGTCACAAATCCAAGATTGTGTCCTTGGTCTCTCCCCCCCACCCCACCCGGCACCCAGCAAGCAAGAACTTTCTCCATGAAAACCCACTCTTCCAAGCAGAATCAGAGCAAATGTCAATTTGGGTTTTCTGAGGTTTGACATTTGCTCCAATTCAATTTTAAAGAGTGTGTTTTTACGAGAAAGCTCTGGAGGTGTTGGTGTGGATGCATTCAGAAAAGAAGCTATAAATTGCAGACAATGTCTGGAAAGCGTGGAGAAAAGGTAAATGTGGATGATGCTTTACCTTGCCACAAAACGTACAAAGAAATCTGTATGAATACTCAATAAACAGGTAATTTAGAACTGACTTTACTAGCAAGCTGGACCACTAAAATTCTTTTTTTCCCCCAAGAAAGAGATGTGCTTGATGATAGATGATGATAGACAGACAGACAGATGATAGAAAGATGAGAGAGAGAGAGAGAGAGAGAGAGAGAGAGAGAGAGAGAGAGAGAGGAAGGAAGGAAGGAAGGAAGGAAGGAAGGAAGGAAGGAAGGAAGGAAGGAAGGAAGGAGAAAGATATTTTACATTGGCCTTTGAAATGGCTACAGGGGTGATTTTCATGAATGACTGAGACTAGGCTTGGTTTCACCAATAAAAGCTGTAGTTGGCAGCATGTGGCATACAGAGTACAGTGGTAAAAGGTACAGTGGTAGGAGTGGGGAGATCCTTTGTCCCTTTCTTTCCACCGCTGTCAGTCTGGGTGTAGGCCAGTTAAGCCAAAACTAGCAAGTAAGTCCTCCCCCCAAATGCTTAACATGCTCTGCCCCCAAATGGGTGGTTTCAGAGGATTCAAGGCAGGTAATGAGAAGGAGAGAGAGAGAGAGCACCTAGCCTTCCTGGATCTTCTCTGACCCCAATGTAGCTTTCTCCTCCATGGCAGACTCCAATCTCATCTCATCACATGTAGCATGACTCCAAAATGTTGTAGACACAAAAGTGAAAAAAGCCCTTTGGGTCTGGCAACAATACACACAATAATCCAGACAGTTATTTGGATGAAGTTTATTAAGAGCTAAGCGGAAAGTAAGAGGGCAAATGGAAGACAGAAAGTTGCTTCAACAAGATTAAAGAATAAAAAATCCACCCACAGGTTATCCGATGCCTGCCTATCATAGTATTATAGAATCGTAGACTTGGAAGGGACACTGAGGGTTAACTGGTTCAACCTCCTGTAGTACCTATCTTACTGCAGCTATTTACAATCAGCCTTTGGGTCTCACTCTGTGCAAAGCTGCAGAATACATTACAGACCCTCCAATATCTATCCAATGAAAGAGGGACATCTTCTATTATTATTTCTTAGTGTTGGTCTTTCTTGTTGTTGTTGTTGCTGCTGCTGCTGCTGCTATCATTATAAATCCGCTGCCCATATGACTGGGTTGCCCCAGCCACTCTGGGCAGCTTCCAACATATATAAAACCTGAATAAAATGTAAAAATATATAAAAACTGAATAAAAACTTCCCTATACAGGGCAACCTTCAGATATCTTCTAAAGGCTCTATAATTACTTATCTAATTGGCTCGGGGCTTGCCTAACTCCATACCCCCAATATTTCGCCAGGGAAAAAAGGGACATCCTAAGAAAAAGTGGGACATTCTGGGATTGAATCAGAATCTGAGACAGCTTCTGTAAATCTTAAAAAAGGGAAGTGTGGAGGGTCCATGATGGTCAAGTAATATGAGGAATGTTGAGAGACAATGGGCTATATGGCAACAGTTCACTTCCAAGAGGTTTGATCCAGGTAGGTCTTGCATGATATCAGGCATTTTCCAGACAATCACAAGGCAGTCAGTAGCCACGGGAATGTCAATGAGTGCTAATTTAGTCTCGGCAAATTTTGGAAGTTAATGCAGGAAAAAGGTGGGTTTGTGGTTCTTTTAACTGGCTGATTCAGACAAATGGAAACACCTCTGGAACAGAAGTATGCTAATTATTGCATTGTGAGATCATGCGACAAAATGTGATTGTAGCCCTGCATATAATTCTTTCTTGCCATTTGGTGGGAACGGATTTTTAAAAAAACATAAAAGAAAAAAAAACCACAGTTCTGGAATGCAGCTGCTATTGCAGTGCAAAAGGAATGTTTAGAAATTGGGACAGAAGCACTAGCATCATAATCAGAAAAACACATGCAATGAACCCCACATCTGAATGCAGCTTGGCAGAAGCTCCCCAGAGTTTCAGGAAAAAATCTTTCCCCAGCCCTGCCTGGACTGAACATGGGACCTTTTGCATACAAAGCATACGATTTACCCTTCGGCTCCGATGGTATTGGATGAAGAGACAGTAAACGTTTCTGTCAGAGAATGACTTTCAGATCAAGTTATATTAGGTTACATGCTTAATCGAGAATGATTCCCACTTCCCCCAATAGTTTCCATCCATTCCCCAACACAAATTGTTTAGGATGAATCCTCAACCCTCGCTGAGATATCTTTTGGGGGATTTATTGTGATTTCACTAGGAGGGAACCACAATCTTTCCTTTCACAAATTTATTTACTATAAATATCCCACTGTTTGAGGTGCTGGGTAGATAAATGCAAAGTTAGATGACAAAAATCACCATTTATATCAAGGGTCATATATTAAATCACAATTAACTTAATCCCATTAATTTTAAGGGGACCAGAGTTCTCCTAAATCATTCAGGATCCAAGCTAATGCATTCAGAAATTAGTAGGTACAGGTCCATACCTATTTTGGAACTCCAACAATGTGTCAGTTCATTTTTATCACCCAAAAGGTCTTCTACCCCAGATT